ACAGCACCGTCCAATTCAATGCCCAAAAAGGAGGCAAGCTTTACCTATACACTACTCTGCCCACCGTACTGCCTACTCTGCCGAAGCTTCTCTTATACACTAATTTATACAATTTTTTAATACACATTTTTTCACAAAAGTCAAAAAGTTAATCCAAACATTTATATTTTTTCTCTCAATTTTTTAGCCTAAAAAGATAAAAAATACACTTATTTATGACATCTCAAACAGGCCCTTAGTTTCTTATCAATTTTGAAAGATGCAAATATAGAAATTGACATGTCTTGGCCTCACAAGCTCTGCGATCTGCTCTACGCTGGCGTTTACTTAAAGCCCAACACTGGCAAGTTCTTCACTGATTTTCCCCCACTTCATATGCTGCGTTTGAATCGTATGTTTGGGTAAGAATTTAAATGGAGTAAATAAAAATGTGAGAGAATTAGATATTTCATTTCTATTTCTCTCACTGTTTATTTTTTTTGTTTTAAATTCATACCCAAATCGATAATTCAAATATAACATGCATATTTCTTATTTGAGATGAGTTTTTTTTCTGGTATGGGTATGGACTCCGAGCAATCATGATCTTTTATTATGATTTTCTTTACCGTCTTTGGTTTTTGATTTTTCAATTATGATAAATTTAACTCTAAATTTTGAATCTTGTTCCAAATAATGACAATAAAAAATATTTCCTTTCAAATGGTCAATTTCAAGAGCAAAGTTGTCATCCAACTTATTTTGTATTGATTAACTTATATATTATTTGAAATGTAATGATATCTTTTTTAATGAATAATGTTAGCACTTTATTGGTTATAAAGTTCTATTTTGATTTGTTTTGTTTTCAGAATTTTTTTTAAGAAATTAAAAATTAAATTTGTGAAAAAAAATTAAAAACCCATCATCTTTATATAATATTATCTTTTGGGAGGATAGAAATAATTTTTTTTTTATATTTATTTTCATTAAATTAATTTTTATTTTTCAAATGTCAAACACGGTGACAACTTTGATATCTTATGAAACCAATCCATTAAATTAAAAAATTCAAGACTAAAAACATTTCATGTATTAAACATATCGATTACACATCAAAAACTTAATAACCATCTATTACGTGATAACCATCCAAAACTATATGTTAATAACAAAAACAACCATCCATTACATGATAACCATAAAAAAAATATCAACAAAACAATCGCCCATTATATGATCATCGTTCAAACACATACTAAAAAAAATTTGATGAAAAAATAAAAATATAAAATGTAAAAGATTTATCATTTTTATATAAAGGTGACCATTGGTTCAATAGTAAAACATTGGCCTAAAAATCTTGAGGTTATAAGTTCAAATCTCAGGGCAACCACTTTGTATACTATACCAAAGTTTAGGTGTGTACTCAATTTTTTTCCTCCTAAACACATATTAATGTGTACTAATTGTGTATTATTTTATATATTTAAATAATATAAATATAAATAATAGTTAAATTTATTTATATGTATATAATAGTTAACTATTGATAATATATATTTATATAATAGTAGTGGTAGATATTATTATTTTGGTAATATATTGACTTTTTTTTAATATATTTTTATATATTGTATATATAATTGTATAAGCGAAATTTCAATTGTAATTTTAGTCTCATACTTAAGTATGAATTTCTAATTTCTGTGACTCATTAAGACCCGTGAATAGGTTCAGGCTCAAGTCAAGTCTAAGCCAACTTAGCTCGCATTCATTAAAATCTTAATAATCAAGTCTAAACGTATTAAAATTCAATTTAACTCGACTTATTTGCAACTCTTGTTGGGATCCATCAAAGCATAAATGCACCTTCCTTTAAATGGCCAGCACATTTTTAGATTTTAAAAAATAAGAACTAAATTTTGAATAATAAACAATATGAAAAAGTTATATCAAACAATTTAACATAGTCTCTTACAATATAAATATATATAAACAATTAAAAAATATTACACCAAATAATCCAAATTATAATAAATTGTGAAAGTTAATTTAGTCCATGTACAATTTACTCATCTCACATTTGAAAATAAACACATAATTTTTATAATTTGTCACAATTATTTATTGGCTAAAAAACTCATTTTACTTTTAAAAAAAACTTTAACTCATTTGAAATATCTATTTCCCATTAAAAAACTCATTTTAGCCATTATAAAGGCAATTAGAAAAGTAAAACCCCCCCTCCCCCAAAAAAAAAAAAAAAAAAAAAAAAAAAAAAAAAAAAAAAAAAAAAACAATAGGCTCCAGTTGGATTGTGTTGTTTGGGCTATTGGCCTATTTGGTAGGTCTTATTTCTAACTTATTTCAACTTTTAGCTTAATTTAAGCTATTTTGATGTGTTTGGTTCAGCTTAACAATACAACTTATGACTTTTTGTAAGTTAAAAATCAACTTATTCGTTGAGTGGGTGAGGAGAAGCTTAATTTATAAGTCAAAAATCAGCTTATGTTCACAGCTATAAGCTATAAGCTGTTAGACTATAAATTATAATCACTTTCCCACAACTCTACCAAACGGGGCCATTGTGATTTGCCACAGCTCCGTCTTAATGATTTGCGCTGTTTAAGGTCACTCTTGATCAAGGGGTGATCAATACTTTCTTTATCATGCTCCGAGCAGCACAAGCATTTGCATGCTAATCTGATACCTTTCGTCTGAATTTGATCCCCCTCCCTTAACTTATTCTGAAATTCCGGCATACAAAGTAAAATAAGAGCTTCCACGCAAAAATGCTAATTATTGTAGGAATGGCTTTACATTGAGACGTTTAGTTTTTAAATTACAGTATCGCAATTATTCATGAAAAAAAATCAGATCGATTAGATAATTATAATCACGCTAGTTCATGACAAAAATAAATGACAAACAATATTTAAAAACTTAATCATTCATTTTTTGAAAAACAAATGTAATGAACTAACAGTGATTATGGTTATTGAATTGACCTGATTTTTTTCATAAATAATTTACACATTATGATCTAAAAAAAGAATGATTCAAATCATTTGGATGGAACCCTAATAGACTTCCCCAATCAAAACAATACGATAGCTGAGCCCAAACTACAATATGTCAAAACAAACTAATTATTTCAGTATTAATTTTTTTATAGGCTTAATTTTTAGCTAGTAAATTAACTTTTTAGTTAACTCTAAAAAAAAATTTTAAAAAGTCACATATCATTATATAAATCACGAATATTTCCCTTATTTTTTAAGGCAAAATACACTTTACGCTTTGCCCTTTGTTCTTTGTTCTATGTATGTAAAATAAATTATACTTACCTCTCATAAATTTTTTTTTTTAAAAAAAGTTAATCTTACATTTTTGACATAATTATATTGACTTTGTACAAAATTTTAATTCATATAACACTTAAGTTATTTTTCATCAATTACTTTTTCGTCATATAAATGAAAAAAATAATATTACAATATCTTTCATACTAAAATATTTATTTACCATTATTTATTTCAGTATCTAATTATCATTGGTATTAATTTTGATAGTTTTAATTATACTAAAAGATAAATTAATATAATTATATATTAATTTATCAACAGTATTATCTCAAAAGGGAAAACCTCAAAATAGGTGAGTGTAATTCAGTCTGCATCAACAGTTAAGAGTTCATTCCTTTCCGAAGTACCAAAAAAAAAAGAAAAAACAGTTAAGAGTTCACTGTTTAGCTTTTGATACTCTCCTTCTATTTGATTTCGTTGTTGTTTTCCTGAAAAGCTTTACTCTTCACTGCCGGCGAATGATTATACAGTGCATTTTTCATCTGTAAGAGACGGAACAAAATCTCAAAGGTTTTTCTTTCTTCATTTCCTCCTTCAATTAATCATATTTTATTACTCTTATCTTTTTATCATTGCTTCTTATCAGCCCCCCTCCAAAAAAAAAAAAAAACTCACTCAACAAACAAAAAAAAAATCTCTATAATTTTACTTTCTTCCTTCAATTTTATTCTGTGTTCTAGTGTTACTTACCAGAAAAAAAAAAAAAAAAAAAAAAAAAATTGATTTTAGAGAGCTTTGTTGTCCCCTCCACTTCAACTCTATTAGAACTCTTGTTGAACAATTATCAGAATAATATTCTGTTGTGTGTTCTGTTTTCATTTTACAAAGCTCCCTTCTTGGTTTCTATTTCTGTTATAGTACAAAAGCTCCCCTTTCTAGTCCCATTATATTACAATATAATTCTCTATATTCAACCCTGCTTGTGTCCAATTATATTACAATATAATTCTCTATATTCAACCTTCTTCTCAGAGAGAGAAATAAAAAAATAAAAAAAAAAATTGTGTTCCCTTTTGATTTTGCCCAGTATCATATAAGTGTTCCTTTCCAGTCTTCACATCCTCTGCAAAATAGCATTACTCTCTTCGTTTTATTTTGATTTGCAAAGCTCAGTTTCCTCATTTCCATTTCGATTGTTGTAGAAAATCCCTTTGTTGTGTTCTAGTCTTTTACATTTTAAGTATCACTATCCTCGAAGGAAAACGTGAGAGAAATGGTCCTGAACTATGTTCTTCCTGTAGTAATGAAGATTGGAGAATATCTGGTTGCCCCAGTTGGCCGCCAGTTTGGTTATTTGATTTTCTATGACAGAAACATTAAGAATCTGGAGAAGCAGGTCCAAAGGTTGGAAGATAAAAGATTTGGAGTACAGAAATCAGTTGAAGAAGCAGAGGCAAAGAGAGAAACTATTGCACCAGGTGTCGAGCGGTGGTTGAAAACAGTGAACGACCTCAACGAAGAGGCTAAGAAATTCCTCGAGGTTGAAGTGAAAGCAAACAAAGGGTGTCTGAATGGGTGGTGTCCAAATTTGAAGTCACGCTATTCCTTGAGCAGAAAAGCTACAAAGAAAACTATCCTACAGTTGTACCTTCTGTGGGGACAACATTTGCATTCACTGGAGGTTTTAAAGGGTTTGAATCTAGAAGATCAATTATGAATGGAGTTATGGAGGCACTGACAGATGATAGTATCTATGTGATCGGGATATGTGGGATTGGAGGTGTTGGTAAGACAACTATGGTGAATGAAGTTGCCAAGAAAGTGGAAGAAAAAAAAATGTTCGATGTTATTGTGATGGTAGTAGCGTCCCAAAACCCAAACTTGATTACTGTTCAAGGCCAGATAGCCAAAATATTGGATTTGCAAGATTTTGGGGGAAACAATTTACCAACTGGAGCAGGGAAGATACGATCAAAAATATTGAGCTTTGAAAGAGTCCTTGTAATATTGGATGATGTATGGAAGAGACTAGAATTGAATGACATTGGAATTCCATTTGGAGATAATCACAAGGGTTGCAAAATTGTGATGACTTCAAGAAATAAAGATGTATGCAACAGTATGGGCACACACGAGAATTTTGAGATTGGCGTCTTACATAAAGAAGAAGCATGGAATCTTTTTAAGGAGATGGCTGAAATTTCAGACGAAGGTACAAGTCACTCAACTGGTTTGCAGTTGACGCAGATGGCAGTTGCAAAGGAATGCGGAGGCTTGCCGATTGCTATTGCTACAGTCGGGAGGGCACTTAGATGCAAAAACAAGTATTCATGGGATTCTGCTCTTGAACAATTACGAAAGTCATTGGTCAAAAACATTAGTGGAGTGGATGAAAAGGTGTTTAAATCTCTAGAGTTGAGTTATGATTCCCTTGATAGTGATGAAGCCAAGAAATGCTTTCTGCTCTGTTCTTTATATCCGGAAGATTTTGATATTCCAATTGAAGATCTCGTTAGATATGCGATTGGGATAGAGTTGTTTGAGCGCATTGATAGTGTGCACCAAGCAAGAAACAGAGTACATTCCTTAGTTGATGACTTAAAAAAATGTTATCTATTGATGGAAAGTAAAAATGAAGAGTATCCATTGATGGGAAAAATGTAGAGTGTATCAAAATGCATGATGTCGTACGTGACGTGGCTATATCAATTGCATCTAGGAAGGAGCATTCGATTGTCGTGAGATGTGATGAAGTATTGAAAGAATGGCCCAAGAAAGACCGACTCGAAAAAAACGCTATTATTTCATTAAAAGTTGATGGTATGCATGGGCTTCCTGGCAATTTAGAATTTCCAAATCTCCATCTTCTAAAGCTAGATTGCAATGCTGGATTATCACCAATCTTATTAGAGGATCTCAACAAAGGAATGGAGGAAGTCAAAGTACAAGAGACCCAAGACAGTTTTTACCAAGGAATGAAAGAACTTAAAGTGCTAGCTTTATCCCATATGTACGGCTCATTGACGACATCACTTGGATGCTTGACCAACCTCCGAACCTTGTCATTTTTTCATTGCCGACTTATTGATGATGGTATCTCTGTTATCGGAGCATTAGAGAACCTGGAAATTTTGAGGTTTGGCGACTCTTATATCAAGGAATTGCCAAAAGAAATAATAGGTCACCTTGCTCACTTGAAGGTACTTGATTTGTTGGGATGTGTAGTGGAAAGGATTTGCCCAGGGGTTTTGTCAAGCTTATCAAAGCTAGAAGAGTTGTATGTTGGGTCTATCTTCAAAAGTTGGTGTGAAGTTGAAGAAAGCAAAGAAGGTGCTAAAGCAATTATTGATGAACTGGCGTCCTTGTCCAATTTGGTGGCTTTGGATATTGCTGTAATAAACATTTCCTTCTGGCCGAGAGGTTTGGTCATTGAGAAGTTAAAAAAGTTCAATATACGTGTTGGCACTTCCCTTTGGAGCTACAATGCTGACCGTTGTTCTTCGTTATCAAATCAGTTGCAGCTTCGAGTTGAAAACATGAGTGACATTATTGAAACAAGGCTTAATTTTCTGTGGAAGAGCACTGAAATTCTGAATTTAACCTCAAGAGTAAAAGGTTTAAAAATTCTCTGTGATTTGGTCGGCGAAGGTGGTTTTGAATGCTTAACGTATTTGTCACTAGATATGTTGTATGATTTGGAATACCTCATCAATACAGCAGATGGGGTTCCACAGAGTGCTTTCCCTGTGTTAGAGAGTATATGTCTTTATTGTTTGGATAATTTCAAAGGGATTACTAGTCATGAATGCCGACAATCGAGCAAGGCTTTGTGGAAGGGTCCCACCCAACTTGTATGGCTCCGCAACTTGACGTCTGTAGAAGTGGTGTGTTGTCTTATACTAGAAAGTATGTTCTCACTTTCCATAGCTAGAGATCTAGTGCAACTGCAGTCCCTTAGGATAGTTGGTTGTCCCATGATGGAAGAAATTGTTTCGAGTGAAGGAGTAGAGCATGAAATAGCAGCAATAGCAACAAATAAAATCAAGTTTCCTAAACTAAAGGAATTGATTCTTGAAGACCTGCCAAGTTTGACTGCTATCTCCAAAGCTATGAATGCAATTGAGCTGCCACAACTGAGTTCCTTGAGACTCTGGAATATGCCAAAGCTGAAACGTCTCTGTCCTGCTTCAGATTCAGAGAGTAATTGTGATCCTATCATTCAACCCCTCTTCAACGACAAGGTATGCTTTTCTTATTTAAGAGCTTAATTAATTGCTAATTTGTGAACCACTTTTCATTTTATTTACTATTACATCTCTATTTTGAGTTTTAAATTTTTTCATAATTGGGTAATAAGATCATTTGCGTCACTTTTATGTCATATTCAATATAAAATGTGTGTTTACATACATATTTGTATTTATATATCTTTATTCATACCAAATAAAAATAAATAAAATTTACCAACAGAATTACTGTGCATAAAATTCATACAAAATGATGTGATAATTGTATTTTTACAATCTTAAACCACAATGGTGGGCTTTGCATTGAAATGAAAGGATCATATAAGGCCATGTTGTTCTATATGGAAAATTCTATTTAAAAAAACAAAAGTTTAGCTTGATCAGACACTAAGTGCTACTAGATCGGATTACATTTGTATAAAAAATAATTAACAAATAGTATAACTTTCAAATGTGGTCAATCAAATTTTTTTAGACAAATGAGATCTAAATAACTAAATTTTTGGTATGAATGATCTTTTAGGAGGGTTATACAAAATGAATGGTTCGGATCCCTACAACAAATGAACAGTGCGGTTTCCGTCACTGCTATAACAAATGAATGGTTTGGATCACTACAACAAATTTTAGAGAAAAAAATTTAGAAACAAAATATTTTAGTTGACAAAAAATATATTGTTGTATTTTTAGAAATGAAACTAGACATTTAAATTGCTACCTTTTTGGAACAATTTTTTGTCAAAAAAATAAACCCTTTTAACACCAAATTATTTTATTTCTAAAAATACATTAATTAGTAATATTTTAAAATTTTATCACTAGCCGTCATTTTTTTACTTTCTCGGACCACCTTTTCCTACCGATTGAATTTGCAGCCCAATATTTTTTGTTTTTGTAATAATATATTTTCACTTTTGAGGATAAAAATATTTGGTTGAAATTTGAATCTTAATATTTTTTGTAATAATATTTTCACTTTTGACAGCAAAAATGTTTGTTCCTAAAATATTTATGAGTATTGTTATTAAGGTCAAAAAATTATATTCACTTTGTAGATAGTAATGTGGTACTCTATTAAAATATCTAAATCAATTTTCTCTGAATTATTTTGTAATCATCGACCAATCATTTAATTGACAAATTATTAAATTAAAAAAATGAATTTAAAAAGTAAACTTGTATATTAATGAAAAATACTTGGGACCCATTTTTTTTGAGACCCCATAACCCTCTTTGAATCTCAACCATTAATGTATATGTGAAATTAATTCATGTATGTGTGAAACCCACACCATCAATGATTGAGATTCAAAAAGGTTATGAGATCTAAAAAAAAAAAAAAGTCTCAATCATTGATGTTATTATTTTAATATTTATATATTATAATAAATCATTGAGGTGGAGCCCACCCCCATAGAACAAAAAGTTGAGAAAATTCATTATTCTTTTTTTGTCAACCCACCAAGCTCAACAACTCCATAATGAGGAAGAAATAAATCAATTATCATAAAAGTATTAAGGTTATATATGGTAGAGTTTTTTAAATATGATTTGAGAATAGAGTTGTATTTTGAGTTTGTAAGTTTTGGAATTATGATTTGAGTGTGAAAAATTTGTGTGGTGAATGAATTTTGAAAAGAATTTTGAATTGAGTTGGGAATTTTTGATGTGACATATGATATTTGATACAAAAATTTACAACTCATAACCAAACAAACAACTCAAAATTTTATTCAAAACTCATAAATTTTTTTTAAAAATTTGAAAAATATTTTTTATTGAATATATAAAAATTAACATGTGTCAATTGTAAAAATATATATAAATAAATAAAAATTTATGTACTGCTCCAGTCAACAGGCTGAACGATCGGTTAGCCCAAACTTTCCCGCCTTATACCGGGTTTTCAAAAGTGAGTATGAAATTAATTTTTGAAAGCCACAACTAAGCATCATGTACAAACTAAGAGTTGAAATCACAATTCCAAAACTCTTCCAAATAGAGCCTAAATTTTTCTCTATAAAAATTGAGTTCGAAATTTTACACCATGGAAAGTGCTACTGTTGGCTTTTTGGTTATCGAAGGTTATTTATGAAATTATGAGCGTGCCAGCAAGGATCAATCAGTCCTTACATAATTTTGATTGCCAACCAATTATCAGACGATTGTGTTGTAGTTCTTTCAGCCTCAATGAAGAGGACTTCTACTGGTGGCTTGATTTAGGAGAATTTAAGCATAAGAACAGTTAAATAAAGAGCAATTGAAGCATTTCATTAGTATGAAAAACTTACAATGATCCAAACTCAGCCTCGTAGAGGTTACAGCGACAATCTAATTGAAACTACTCCTATGAATGAAGTGCAGTGCAGGAATAAAATACAGGAATGTAAAGAACAGGAAATATAAAAACTGGAACTAAATATGTAAAGTAAGACTGGTTTCTTGGATCTGAGTCCGGGGGCATTTTCTAGGGTCTTCCCTGTTATTTATACTCCTCAAGGATGACCATCGAATTTCACTTCAAACCGTCGAACTGCTCCTCCGTGGTCGCTGATCATGCTACCTTATAAGTAGTTCCACTACGCCATCACTTGCAGTTAGGCTTCCCTCCTATATTTGAATTTGAATGTGAGTAACTGTTGAAGCCACGTCACCTTGCATCTCTTTGTTGATCCACTGCTACTCAGATCTCATAACAACCAATATTAACTGCCACGTGTACGATTAGGATCGAAGACTTGAATGGTCTCCCCATATTACCCTTACTTTGCCACGTGTTGAGTTGTAATTGGCTTGCACAAAATACGTAGCCAACATTACCCCCCGCACTAATATACCCAAGACTTGGTGATATTAGTGGATCAGGGTCTTTTCCCCACGTCTTAGAACGTGCATGGGTTTTTCATCTTCTCAAAAATGCAACTGTCACTCACCATCTGTATTAAACTCTCGTTTAATCCGTTGAATACTTCCACCTTCTTAGCATTCGAACAGACTGATACATTTCATGGCCGAATTACTTTTTTCTTCCAGCAATCGAGCACATGAAGAGTCATACGTCGATGTTGTTTCTCCTCGAAAGAATGTCCATGCATTTATTAGCCACTCTTACCCACCTTTCTATATTCAGGTCATGGATGCCTTTGCCATTGCTCATTCCTTGGACTTCGAACATATTGCACTCAATCCTTCGATCCAGAAACTCACAAATATGGACATGAGAGGCTCTTCTTCTGTATCACCCTTAGACTACGAACAAATTGCTCTCAATCCTTTAATTCAGAAAGTTGCAAATATGAACATGGGAAATTCGTTATCACAATCCGCTGTATGGGGCAACGCTGCAACTTCTCCCTCTTCTGGGCGTTCTGACTGGATAAGCTAGTCAACACCTGAGACCTGTGATTTGAGGGAGCGAATCAACCATCATTTTGTTGAGTTCACTGACCCTTTAGAGTTCCCTTCCTATGCTCGAAGTTCAGTGGTTTATCCCTACGTGCCCATTGACCATCGACGTAGTCTGGAGGAGAATCTGCTTGTAGCGTGGTATACATCATCCATGCCTACAAAGATAGTGCATGCTGCCCGACGCCTAGAAGAAGCACAAGGGTACAACCCATCATTCTTAGCCCAGAAGGCAAAGATTTGTTCTTCTGACTGGCTCGATTATATTAATGTCTTTGTTCCTCTTGCTCCCGTGCCATCTCCCATAATAGAAGCATCCACACTTTCTACACCTTTCCCTCTATCAACTCTTTGTTGGGCAGAGAGACTGAAGCTTGCCCTTTCCATAGACAATGTCTTTCCACCTTACAAACCTCTACCTTCCCCTACTCCAGCTGAGCGGAAACAAGCCCAACTTCTGCTTGCAGCTTTCTCTCACTTGTCCTTCAATGTTCTTAAAGACGAAGTCCCTCTCAAAAACCTTCGATGGGCTTGTGATATTCTGACTAGGGGTCATGTCCTTAATCCCCTTGCCCAGGCAGAACTTCATATGTTCCTGGACCAACTTCCATTGCTCCTCTACTGGCATCGAAATTCTATGGCTACTACACAATCTTTAGACCAACTTTCGTCTCTTCGAGTTCATGCCCAGTACGAAGCAGAGAACTTCATTGAAGAATTCGGTGATTTCAAGAATAAAGATTCTGCGTATTGGGATGACTTGGACATAGACGAATTGGAACAAGGATTAAGAGAGGCGGCTTTCGAAATAAAGGCTGAAGAGCTTTACTACGAAGTGAGAGCACATCAACTCATGCAGCCAATGTTAGAAGACATAGACGATAGAATAAAGAAGGAACAAAAATTCATTGACCATTGCTGGACTAAATTTCATGATCTTGTTATTTATTCCGTTCCTTATTTTTATGAGCTAGAGTTTGTATCCAAATAGGGCCATTCGATGTAACTGCTTTTGTTTTAATACAAGATTTCTCTTTGTTTGATATGGTTTGATCTTGTCTCTTATTTTAAAAGCAATTACAGAGCTTCGAACTGAACAATCTTTCCCTTCGAACCTGGATTCGATCGTCTGAAATGAATACCAACAACACGACTATGAACTTTTCCAATTTAGGGAATTTAATCAGTTCTAATTTGATCTTTTCGTCTTAAACAATAGTCCATATTTTCAGGAATATGAACTTTTCTGAATATATATAAACCAACTGTGGGTTTCAATGTTTCGAATGCCAATTTCCCTTCCCAAGGAATTTCTAACTTTACTTCGAAGAACGTCACTGTCATTGAGAAACCTAAAACAGGCCTTTAGTCCTTTTGAAGTAAACGAATACTTGAGCATTCTTGTATCCATTGAGTATGGTATGCGCTTCGAAGCCGGCTTCTTAGTTTCGGAGCCGTTGTTATTGGTCTTTTGGCGCCGAAGAAATCTAGTGTGTTATGTTTTGAACACCAGTTTCCATCCTCACAGGGTTTCAAGTTTCACTTCGAAGGTCATTGTTTTCATTAAGAAGCCAAAAATAGGTCTTTAA